AAAAAAAAAAAATATGATGTATAGGGAATACACATGTATAAATGTGTGTGCGGCAAACGAAACGGCAGCACGTTGTCGTCGTTCGGGATACACGCGAGCGCCGGTTTGACCGGTGCATCGTGCCTGTGCACGCCGGTTGACGTCGATGAACCCTCGATTGCCGCGGCACACCGGTGGCTCGGTTTTGCAATTTTAATCGCAATTGACTTGCCACGGAATCTCAACTAATCGCTTTTAAGGACATTATGCCGAAGACGAACTTTAAATAGATTCAATCGCGAGTTTCATGTATTTCATTCGTTGAGTCGGATTTTAACGTCACTCGCTCGTTTTCGCAATTAATTCATATATATATATACAACCCTACACCCTTGGTGTCCGCGCGCGCACTTGGTTATACCACCACGGCTGGCCGGTGTACTTGAGAAACTTGAAGTGCACGCGCACGTGAACTTGAACGCGCGACGGTGACGCTGAACGAAAAAAAAAGGAAAAAAAAGAAAATAGAGAGAAAAAGTTTTACAACGTGTGAAATAATAATAAACCAATTTTGCTACTCTACTAGCTGCGGACAACGAGTCAATTTTTCGCTAGTTGGCTTCTTTTTTATTTATTTTCTTAAGAAAAAACGTTTACTATCAACGACGAAAAAAGAGTTTTTTAAAACAACCTACATATCTTTATCAGAGATAATCGATCAAATGCGTATCGACCAGTTTTTTACTCTATGTAATGTAGTGACTATACTTGTTTGCGGGCATGAATGGAATTTCTGATTCTTTGCTTAACGTGGTAGCAATCGCCAAGATTTTTCTAGAATTGCATCAGAAAAATTGTATGGAGTAGACGCGAACTAAGGAACTATGGAAATCATGGAAAAACCAAAGTTCATTTTTTTTTTATGTCATTTCAAAGCACATAAAAACATTGATCTTTGGGAGGTACAGTTTGTGCTAATGACAATTATAGTATTCCGAGAAAAACGTCATTATATGTATTATGCCGACACGCAATTCGCACACGTGTTTTTTTTTAATACTACATGCAAGTTCGATTTTCATTTTACGACTGCATTGATGATTCATAAGCCGTTAACATTAACCATCAATAATGCAACGTATTTTTTTTTTTTTTTTTTTTTTTCAATTTCGTTCTCAGTAAAGAGCATTGTTTTCTCTATCGACAGCAACAATATAATATATCTTTTATTGAGAAGAATTCACGCGTACTTTTGACATTTCAACCACAACAACATTACGCAGGTACACGAAACATTTGGTCCAAAAGTAAACAGAGAGCCATTGACCTTTTCTAATGAGCACAAATATTTTTGCACACAAACGAATTTATTTTTTTTCCACGAAAACACGTAATAAATATTCTAAAATTTGTTTAAAAAAGAAAAAAAAAGAAAAAAATCCTACGTTCCACGCGAAAGACGAGGCGAACCGAAAGTCGATTAATCCCAGATAAGCGAACGCCGGACAAAGTTGTAAGTAGATAGATCCTCGATGGGAGCCAAAATTTTGTCAAACCGCGCCAAGGATTAGGATACAGGTGGCGCGCGATACACGCAAGAGCGGATCGATGGAAGAAAATAAATACACGTAGGGGCGCGCACGCGTTATTTGTCACGAGCTCGGGGGGGGGGGGGTAAGAAAGCAAACAGGCGATCGCGAATTCAAGGCCGTGCTCGCACCACAGACTCGAAATCATATACGCGTATACCTGGTCTGGAGATCCAAAGCTGTACAGAGACGGTGTACAACCTTTACCGAGTTATTTTATTGCGAAGGTCACGCATCGCTCGTACCATTGACGAGGGAAGAAGGGTATATTGGCCAAACAGTTTTTTTCTTCTCTTCCAAACGCCGTTTGGTCTGTTGGCCCGTATACACTACGGTTTACATCAACTTCCCAATATACACACACGGACAAAGTGCGTCCATTACATAAGTACATAACCGATCGATACTTTTGGTGAATATTTTAAAAGCGCGTGGAAAGTATGGTGCTCGTACGACCACTTTCCCCCAATTCATTTAATTTGCGCTTTTCGAAAAAATAAATCGTGAAAACAAAAAAAAAATACTCGAAAGTTCATACGATAATCTCAATGATATGCGGCACCCAGTCGGTGCGGGAGTAAAAAATTCACGAGACGCCTTGTATTGAAAGTAGCTCAGCTACCGAATCGAGCCGGATCGATGTGCGTTCGATGGAAGACATAAGGTGTTTATTAAGCCGTAACATTCCGACTCGATTTTGGGTCGCTCGCGCGAAATGAGTGAGGCACACGACGCGAGTCCAGTTGACCCGATGTCGATGGAATCACTGATGGCGAATCGATTTACTTCACTGTTTCAACAAAAAAAAAAAAAAAAAAAAAAAACTTTTCGTTTTTTTTTCCCTCAACGTTACATCGGACGAAGCGACAACTTTTGAATTTTTCGAGCGACCTAACGCAGAATGCGGGGGGTCGTAAAGTAAATTTGTCCATACTTTGGAAGTACAGTTGCGTTACAAGTTGACGCATCGCCAAATTCGCCTCAAATCACGTAATCATAATATTGCGCATGATTGTGCCGATTTAGTAATATATATATATATTTTTTTTTTTTTTTTTTTTCCCCACGTATATAATGTACGGTAACTACGGATTTTTACTGGCAATACAGTTGTGTGTATGTAAGTGAGCAAGTAAAAAAAGGGGGACCGCGTGATTTTTTTTTTTTTTTNTACTGGTATATATATATATATATGGTTCCTATACATGATGGGGACCAAATTGAGAGTACATACCCAACGATGAGACTCGAATGAACGTCACTGTATATCGCGTGATGGGGTAAATTGTAACACAGCCATACGTTTGATAGATGTGATGGTAGGGTCAACTCGCTTGTGTGGTCGTGGTGTATGACTCATTTACACGCGCTAACGTAACCAAGTAGTTTACACACACCGACTTGCATGTACTTATCCGTATACAAATATGTACAGCCATCACGAGGATGTTTTTTGTAGATAATACTCTTATTTGCTCAACAGATCAGACCAAGTTTTTACATTAAAAACAAAGGGTCGGGGGTTGTTTTTTTTGTCTCGATTTTTTTTTTTTTTGATTAATTAATCCATTTATATGTATATATATATATATATATATATATATATATATATAATATATATTGTATGTGCGATGGTACACGATTAACGGATCGTCTTTGTGGCCGCAGAAAAAGATCAAGATGGATCGCAGGTGTTCGAGGAAACCGGTGCTAGGAACAGAGAACGATGGCGCAGAGAGGCGGGGATATTGGCGACCCCGCCCGGGGGCCACTTTCCCATGCAGAACGCCGGTCCCGTCGAATTCGAGTCGCCCACTGTGCCGGTTATCTTCGTACTTGGTAATTTTTACCACTTTTATTTTTTTTTTTTTTTTTTTTTTTTTTTTTTTTTCTTCGTGCATACGATTCGCATAATGTATTCAAAGTTGGCGCTTCGGCCTTTTAATGAATGACCGGTGATGAACGTTGCCCGATATTCAGCTGCGATGCACTTGTGAAATCTACACCAGCACTATCACCGAGTTCCTAACTAAACCTCGAGTTTTAACGTGCGCGTGTGAGTTTATGTATATACACGACAGATATGTACACTTCTGTATAAATAGTGATTGATATTCTACTTGGTCAGTTGGTAACATAACGTACTTCGAGATGAATTCGGACAAGAAAACAGCCAATATTGTTTTAATAGCACACAAACAACATCTAAGCGATACGTTCAATTTAAAGACGTAAGTTCAGTTAAAAAAATCTGTAGTACAAAATTGTTCAGTGAGTAGAACAAAATTTATCGGCTATGGCTACACGGGTATGGCTTATCAGCCGCAGTTGAACGTTGGCTTTTGACAGATGTTTGTATTGATAGCCATTACGTTGAGNGCCAACTATCGGTGAGAACGAAATTTTTTTTTTTTATCTGGTACATCCCCCTACACCCACGTATTATTATTATTGCCACGTGGGTATTTGGATGTAACATTTTCACGAGGACGGTGAAGTTTAATTTTTTTTTTAATATATCGCAAGGAGGTCCCGGCAGCGGTAAGGTGACACACTGCGACAACTTCACCCAGGAGAAGCGGTATGTAGTTCACATCAACATGACGGACCTTCTGCAGCAGTACGCGATGGGCAACGGTGAGTCGATCCATCTCTTTTCAAATTTTTTTTTTTCTTTTTCCTTACGATGGGTCTAAAGAATCGCGGTCACTCCGTGGATGAAGCCAAAGTTTTGTTAATCGAGTTTTTTTTTTTATGTATTGAAAAATCCACGTATAAGTTTTTCCACACGAGCTGGTCGAAAATAGTAGATAAGGTGAAACTTTTTTTTCCCGGCAGTGCTTAGCTTATTTAAAAAAAAAAAAGCTCCATAGCCGAGAGAAAAGCAAATTGTTTCAAGGACAATACAACCCGCTCGTATACATGCGTCCGCACGTTGAATTTTCCTGATTAAAAAAAAAAAAAAAAAAAAAAAAAAAAAAAAAAAAAAACAAATGACATAAGGGTACAAAAATCTCTCCATTATTGACTCCATCAGGCGTACGCGTAATACACGATAAGAATTTAAAAACGCGGAATGATACGCACTCATACTCGGCTCCCGTGAACTTGTCGATTTAGGATGAGAATGACTAAGGGTCTTTCGCGACCATCTCTCTTTGTACTGGAAATTGTAAGCGTATATACACACAACTACCAACCACTACCACTATAATATAACGTACAGCTTACACGTGTATACGTACACGTGAGAATCGATTTTCCGAGATCGATGGTATGTTGGACATCGCCAGCGCCCAGTGGTCTATTATCTATGCGTGTTACGAGGGAATCGTCCGCTTCGCGACTGTTTATATACACATATATGTGTTTCTCGGTATTCCAACTCTGCAGTAAATTTCCATTGCATTTCGAATTTGTTCTTTTTATCACTTATCCCTTTTAATTTGTGTATAATAATAATAATATATGTGTTTGACAAATTTTCATTTGCTTTGACCGTTAAGTTTGCACTGTCCGTGTGTATAAGTACATACACGAAGATACAGTGATGCTACGAGAATATGGAAATCCGAGTAGGTATTGTCATACGATAAAACTCTGATAAAAATTACCCAGAAAAATTATTGCGGTAAATTACGGTACAAGTAATGTAGTAATCAGTAAGTGTCGGTGCTCGTTCAATTTTACAAAGTAAGAAACGTCATTAAAAATTAATGAAAAAACTATACTGGTTGTTGCAGATATGCGAGACTTTGGCATGCTCAGCAGTAAAACGGTCACGGAGGTCCTCATGCTTGAAATGAAAATGTCTCCAGAGGCCAAAACGTTCCTCGTGAGCGGCTACCCGAGGAACATGCGCGACGTCGTCGAGTACTCCGATAAGGTAAAAAGACAAAAAAAGAACAAAAAAAAAAAAAAAAAAAAAAGAAAAAAGAAAATCATCAACACGCGCTACCTTTACGGGGGAACAATGGAAGGGAGTGTCAATGTCCTCCGTCGACGTATATACCAGAGAACGACTGTTCTCGCGTGTGTATACATACCCACGCGCGTCAATTCCATAGGATATTGTTACAAAGGATGACGGACATCAAGAGTAATATCGGCCCTTAACGAGAACTCAATTTACGTAAAACGGACTCGAGTAATGTCCATGACGCGTTTTTCTCCCCCTCCCCCGCTCCGACGAAAAGCAACTTGTATACCCGTGTGGATTTGAAAACTAATCAAACAAAGAAATCATATATATATATATATATATTACGGCATACGCGTACGTACAAGGTTGTGAGTAAAAAAAAAAAAAACGAGCCATTTGTTGTTCATTTAACCGGTCGGTCGTTCACTCGCCGTGATAATTGGACACGCGCTTTTACACCCGCGGTGTAACGCCGAAAACGCGAGGTTTAGTGCGTGGGTACATTTATATATAGACAATAGCATGTATGGCGTAATTTAATCGCGAGGGTATAATCACAAGGGACGACGGGGTCTACGGCGAGACCCACTGACCTACTGGACAATATACGCTTATTGCCACGGCTCGAACTATACGCAAAAGATGAATTGTTTATTATATATATACATATATATATATATATATATATATATAATATATATTGTATGTGCGATGGTACACGATTAACGGATCGTCTTTGTGGCCGCAGAAAAAGATCAAGATGGATCGCAGGTGTTCGAGGAAACCGGTGCTAGGAACAGAGAACGATGGCGCAGAGAGGCGGGGATATTGGCGACCCCGCCCGGGGGCCACTTTCCCATGCAGAACGCCGGTCCCGTCGAATTCGAGTCGCCCACTGTGCCGGTTATCTTCGTACTTGGTAATTTTTACCACTTTTATTTTTTTTTTTTTTTTTTTTTTTTTTTTTTTTTCTTCGTGCATACGANTATATATATATATATATTGCTCTTACCTTATATGTATACCACCGATTATGCACTCGTTGAGCACATGGAATGATTGTTATCTCGATGTAGATCCAAATAATGAACGGTGTGATACTGGTGGCTTGGACGAAAACCGTGCTCGAGAAGCAAATCGAGTACGGAGCGAAACTCGGCCACGTGATCATGGACCTGGCGAAAATGGAGTTTGACAATTTTTACAAGCACGTCATGCCGGTCGCCGAGTACTTTGACCAGAGCGACATGCTCCAAACAGTAAGTTCACCGATGTGTGACATTCGTATTGTAGCTTTGGGCACTTTTACCGATACCGATCGTCCCCCGTTTGTGCGCAGATAGACGGCGAGCGCGACCCACCCGAGGTGTACGTGGACTTTCGGGAAGCGGTGATGCGAACACTCGGCCTCCCGGACGACGACACCCACCTCAGGCAGAGCCAAGTCTCGAGCTCGATGGAGGCCGAGGTGAGAAAGAAACCGACATGAAACATACGCAGAAACTTTGATATTCCATTCCAACGATCCAGGTGGAAGTGGAGCGCGACCAAGAAGGGGTCCGGGAGGCCAGTCCAGCCGGCCAAGTACCATCCCCAGCCCCGAGCGAGGAGTCACTAGTGCCACCTGCCTCGCCGACCGAGCCAACTATCGGTGAGAACGAAATACTACCGGTCAAGCCAGAACCGGCGCGTAAGAGGCTACCGCCCATTGTGTGGGTCCTCGGCGGTCCCGGGAGCGACAAGTCCGTGGTATGCGGCCAAGCGATGCGAAAAATGCCGAACTGGGTCCACCTGAGCATGAGCGGCCTACTGGCGAGCCACGCCACCGGCAACCGGATGATCGGCGAGGCCCTCGCCACCGGTGAATTGGTCCCCACGGAGGTGGTCGAGCTCCTCGTCGAGAAGCAGATACTCCTCAACCGCAACTCCAGCGGCATCGTCATCGACGGCTTTCCCCGGGACCAAACCCAGGCCCGCGACTTTGAGAACAAGGTGATGACGACCATTGTTATGTTATATACCCTCCTACCTTCCTTCCTTATTGCCGCTTGGAGTAACACCAACAAATGGGAAACAGTTTGGTCAGCGCCCGGAGCTGTTGTTGCTGGACGTGGCGTTGCAGCAGAGCCGGGGCAAGTCGTACGACAACGCGGAGGCGTTCAAGCGTCGGCTGAAGTTGTTCCGGGAGTTGTCGATGCCGTTGCTCAAGAGCCTGGACGCCCAGGGTAGGCTGACCATCTTGGAGGAGAACACACCGGCGGACCGGCAGCAGTTCGCCTCGGCGTTGCTCGAGCTGATGAGGCGCGCGGCGCGTCACGAGGACGACCCCAACAGGATCAGCGTGGTCGCCGCCGACGAGGAGATCGGGGACAAGGCTCGGCAACCCAACGGCGTTGTCAAGCCCATTGGCAACGGGGTGGGGCACAGGAACAATGCCAACGATACCCCTGACACTCTTGTCCTCGGCAACGGCGCGGCAGGTGATTATCCGCGCCATCAGGGCTTGCCAATGGTGATTCTAGGGTGTCCCTTGGCTTTTTCCTATTTTTACTAAAGCGCGTCAACTCGCGTGTAGTCTATAGAGCTGAGGGGGTCACGACGAGCGAGACTTTTGCACGGTGGGGGTTTTTTACGTCCGGCCGAGAGCATTTTCTTCTCTTCGTCGCGGGTAGGGGAAATTTAAACAAAGACATACGATTCACTCCACGGGAACAAAGAAATGTAAAATCCGGACATTTTGTTACGAAAGTTCCTCATTTTGAAAGCATTTGTCCTTCGTTTCATTATTTCATTGTTGGTCGAAAGGTTTCATCTTTTTTAAATCGAAAAAAATCAATTCTACTCTTTTCATAAGAAAAAAAAAAAAAAAAAAAAAAACTACAATTCACACAGTTTTTTAATACAACTTGTGAACTCAACTCGCGAGAGTGCGTTGTCGATTAGTACTTGTATTCCTTTTATTTTATTTTTCCCCCCACAATGTTGTAAGTGCACAAGTGGGGTGCACCGGAAACTTTGAGGCGTATGCTTGTGCATTTCAATATATGCTTCAAAATTTCCGGCCCACCCCGACAAGTGTCGTCAAAAAGCATTCGAACGACGACGCTGGCCTAATCAGCGTGAAACCCCCGATTGTCCGCAGGTGGCCGCAGCAAAGCCCCGATGATGGCCAACGGCGGCGTCGTGAGAACGACGCGCAAAACCAACTTGGCGACGAGCAACCGGTCGTTGGGGCAAAACGGCCAGTCGAAGAAACCAGGGACAAAGACGACAATCGGTTACAACGACAACGGGGTCGTAACGAGCCAACCGGGGCGAAAGCAGTACAACCACACCAACGGGGTCCACCTGATGCAGAACGGGGTGCCCGCGCGTATGGCCAACGGGTTCCTGCCCAAGTCGAACAACCGCGTGGCCCCGGGCATGGCCCAACAGCAGCACAACGGCTGGTTGCCGAACGATCCGCTTCTACGCGTGTACCCCGACAGGTACGACTTCCCGCCCACGAATTTGCACATGTAGCTGCTGGCTTTCGCTCGTGGGACGGACTTTTGTTGTCGCTCGCCCGATGATCGCCTGATGGAACGTGCCCCGCAACTGTTCGAGCTGTTTCGCCTACTTTTCAACCGAATCAATGTTTGCCCACTGCAAACGATCAGTATTAGATGATAAATTAACATTTTTCCCCCTTTTTTTTTTTGTTTTTTTTTTTCCTCTTGGAGGGAGAGTACATTTTATTGTACTTTACGCAAGACGAAAAGAAATAACGGGACACTGGTGTCGAAAGAAGAGATTTCGAGGTGGAAAACGAAACTTTTTTTTTTTTTTTTTTTTAACAATCGTTACCCAACGGACTGTTTATCGTTTCAATTGGAACGAACGAATGGGTTGATTGTACATCCATATACGTTCTGTAAACACGAGTTGCAACTCACAAGTGTATGGTTAAAGTTAAGGAAGAAGTGAATTGTACATATATACATATATTACTTTTGTTGATACGTGGAAACGTTGCGTATACATTGTACAAGGCCTCGTATATTTCGTTTGGATGCATACCTTGTATTAATATTCAGGTATAGTAGTTCCATTTTTTTTAACAAATTATCGAGTATTGTCAAAACACACCTTCGTCGTTTTATATTTTCAAGTGAATGTGTAACATTTGCACTTACTTACTCAATGAATAATATAATGAGCAGTACTTTTCTAGTAAGGAAATAATATATAACGTACGTGTTTACGAAAACTTCGACTTACCAACCGAGAGGTATATGGCAACAGCCGAAGGCGAGAGCTGTAACGGAATTCGTAAAGAAGCCTTTTCGAACGAGATTCGTGTACTATTTTTCCGCCTGAGAAACCAAAATCAAGCGGCGAAGGTGCTATTTTAAGGTTAAAAGGCAGAAAAATATTTTTATCTTCTTATTGAGCGTACGTTTATTGAGGATTTAAATGTATTATTACCAGGTTAAATAATAATCTATTAAAGATAGTTTCAAAATTATGTGATGATTTTTATCCTCGTTTTTAAGTATTGAAGTTTAAAAGTATTCAAATATAAATAACTAAAAACATGGGTTGACAGTGGTTTTGTAACTTATGACCCATCAATAAAATGACTTTATGCAACTTTTATTCATAAACAAAGGAAAATTATATCTTGATAAAGCTGTTATGATATAAGTGAGAGTGTGTGAACACGTTTTTTATTTCTATTGCTGATCCTATGTTAGAGTTGTGCAGTGTGTCGACGGAATGTTAAAGCTGGTATTGTTAATGGCGAAAAAATTGAAAATAAAAAAAGAAATAGTGGGTGTTAAGTACCAATGGAACAATGCTTAAAGATAAATATGTTATTTAGAGTTTTTTCTCTGTAAAAATGCTATAATTTTGCCAGACTGAGAGCGCTATAAACTAAACCTTAAAGTTGGTTTTTTTTTTATTTTTCTTTAAATTGTGTTATGAATAGATTGTGTTATTAAAATTATTGGTGTATCTTTTCTTTATTACTAAACCAAGTGAATTTAGAACCTTTAACGCCAAAAATTAAATCAAAAATTTTAATTATCATACCTGTCCTCGTTACTATAAAATTATTCAGTCAAAATTTCTAATNGAAAATTTCGAACAGTTTTCCAATAGATTAATCAATATATGTAAGAAAGAAAAATAACAAGGTGATCCTTCGACTCTCTCACTAAACACTTGGATCAAGAGAAAAGTGTACAGTACAAGAAAGTTGTACCTATTAAAAAATAATGTTTTTTCTCTAATGAAACCTCTAGAAAAACAAAAACAGTCATATGAGTGTAAAAAAAATTTCTTTAGTTGATTTCACGCGTGTCGTCGCTCTGAAGAAATAAGGTATATAACAAACACATACACCCTCTTCCCCTCAATCAACGATACAATGACGTAAAGTACTCGGACTATACCTTCATTTAATTTTCACCGAAAATAGAAGAAAACACGATGCGTCGTCCAGTGAAAACACGAGGAACTCCTGTGTACCTACGAGTGTAAACGAGATGGTAAGTAAAATCAATGTTGTTTTACAGTATTCTCAATGGCTAAAAACGAGAGATAAAATGTCACAAAATCTGAATAACGAGGAAAAAAAAAAAAAAAAAGAAAAAAAAAGCTTTTGTGGCAATTTTTCGCGCGCGGATAACTTTGAAACAACTTTTCATGACTCCCTGTAGGTAGCGTCATCGGCATCCGGGAACGAAGAAAAGAGAGAGCGAGCGCAGATCGGAAGCAACGCGCGAGCATTATAATATATGTGCGCTACTGCCGGGTATTATGGCGATGCCAATCGAAGGGATTCCGCGACAAAAGCTCCCTCGATCCCCTGCGTTGCAGCACCTCTTTTACCGATAACACCCAAAGAGCCCAACTACGTATTGTTACGTAACGGCAAAATGTTGATTTCGAAAAGTAAGTAAGTACACGCGCCGCAACCGCGGTTCTGCCGCCATTGTTCCTCTCTCTCTCTCTGTTTTTTATTTGATTGGTGTACACATATATATATATATACGAGGAGACAACACAGACGACGGCTCATGCCGGCGGCGCGAGTGCCGCTGCGGTATTTTGTTACGTCGGTGTATTATACATATGTTACGTCGAATCGAAGATCTAGACGAGACTGCGAGTGTGGTCATACTTATCTTGCATATACTCGTGATACACCTATATGAACTTATATTATAGGTAATACACACAGGGTGTACAAGTTGTCACGAGTATTTAGCGAATCGTTACCGAACGTCTTTTCCGCAAGATCGGTATGTTATCGGTAAAAATCGGTATCGGCGCCATTCGTCACGGTATACGCGCTTACGATGCCGCGAATGCAATAATCGTGTCAAACGTACACTTGGTACGTAGGTACAAGTAATAATACAGTACAACAAAGTGTGGCGTGGTGTTCGAAAATGCAAAGAGAAAAGGGTGGAGAAAAAGCGTGCGAATGAAAGAAAGAGACCTAAGTATCAGAGAGAGAAAGTTTTAGTGTATAAAATGTGGATGTATATAACTTTTGGTATAGGTATATATATGTATGGTTACACGATGATGTATGATGGTGTTGGTCGGTGTGCGCGCGCGATGCATCGAACTCGAGATAGTCGAGATAGTAGGATAGTACCTACATGAAGCGCGTTGATGCGAGTATGGTTAGAAAAGCAAGGAAGGAGAGGTGGAGCGAAGAGAAGCGAGAGTATACGCGCGTTTAAAATAATAGGTATACCTTGTTATACGTTGGTTGTACAAGTGTGGAGAGATCAGCCGAACCGAAGCCGACTCCGTTTTTTTCTTTTTTTTGTTTTTTTCTTTTCTTTTGATCTCGTGCATAGGGAACCGTGTAATGTCATGGTGTGCACACAATATACCCTATGGTGTTTTAAAAGGAGCGCGCGTGCCAAAAGCTACATATACTCACTCCGTTCAGAAAATAGATTTGCAATACAATACAAATGTACATAGGCGTGTTGCCTCCGATTTTATTGTAAGACGTATACGTAGAGATTCGCGCCGTAACCCAGGGTGTGGAGTGTATACATTATGGTATTGGAAATACCGAGTGGAGGAGGTGATGTGATTATTGACAAGTGCTTGTGCCCATCAGGATATTTAAAGAATATATAGAGATACATATATACTTACACCGGGGGAAAACAACAAAACAAGAAAAAAACAAAAAACAAAAAACAAAAACGGAGCAGAGGCCGGGATTAATAATGGTAGGTAAAATTCTTCATCGGAGCATGCGTTGTGCGTGTGCGTGTGTGTGTGTGTTTCTGTTCGTGTGTTTTGCCGCCTTGGCGACCGAAGACTATATGTATACACGTTCGTGTGTGCTCCTCAAAATATACCTACTGCCGATGTGCATATACACCAACATTGTTTATGCAAAATACGTAATCAGCATCATCCAGAGATTTGTGCTTTTATTCCATTGTCTCCCACGCTACATGTATCCTTGCACACACAGAGTTATATACATATATCATCTCCGATATATACGTATCAATAGTGTTTATATTTATATACGTGTGTGCGAATACATGTATGCACACATTGGACACGGTAGGTGTATATATACTTATCCGCGGCTGTTCTCCCGCGCTCCATCGCGACGCGGTGTGTGTGCTGTTTGTTTGGGCTATATATACATGTATATTGGGTGGACGACTCCTTTTTTTTTAACTTGCACAAATATAGGTGCATATGTATACTTTGGTGTGTTTTATACCACTGACGCCGTGGCTCCGATTTTTTTTTTTTTTTTTTTTTTCCAACACGAATGATGCGCCCAAATAAGGGATTCAATGTTCATTGCATTAATTACCTCTACGGGTTTATCTGTTATGTCTCCAACATAATAATATATACACCGAAAGGGCCGTCGCGGACGCGAGACGCATCATCATAAAATACATGAGTAAAATGTATATGTAGGCAAGAGAAAGAGGAGGGAGACGAAAAGATAAACCTCCTCTGGTCTTGATATACTGACAATGTTGATACATGCATATTATATGTATATGTAAATAGCGTGTACGTACAAAAAATTAATGCATATATTGTTATATCATAAAAGGAGGTGATTATGATATGACAATAAATTCGTGATATATCATGTATGCACGAGGTGGTGGTGGTGGTGGTGGATCATCAGTAAACTTTGGTCGAGAGAGAGAGAGAGAGAGAGAGAGCTTTCATCGTGTGTATATTATGACGATAGAGCACCGGACTAGCAAATCAATATTATACCTCAATCCATACACGCGTATACCCCGCACACACGTAAATATTAGAGATATACATGCACGTACATAGGCAGTCAAAACGTATATAGGTGACTTCATCAGACTTTATATATATACCTTGGCACCACTCAATGGAGACAGACGAGGAGGACGCGATATATATACATATATACACGAATATATGTATGTATTCTGTGGAAAACGCCCCCGCGAAGCATCATCGACATATAGATATGATGCACACACGGGCGCAAGGTTTTACATCCGTGTTCCGTGACACGCGAGAAAGCTTTTTCCCGCGCGCTTGCACCGCTGCCTGCTGTAATAAGTATACAACGGGTACGATGTGTATACGTTATTTTGTGTGTAGTTTTCTTTTAATCGACCTCACGTTTTTTGGGCCCTTTGGTTTATGTTATTTGCGTTATTTTATAAATTGGATAACCGTACAATCTTCTCGCGAACGTTTTAATATTATCGATGGATTGCGGTGTGTGTGTGCGCGTGCGTTTCGTCTTATGCACTTGTGGTGTTTTTTTTTTTTTTTTTTTTTTCCAATTCTCACGCAATTCATATCCTTTCGTTTTTGATGGGTGCGATAAAGTTTTTTTTAAAGATGTTTATTGTATTTTGCACAAAAGAAAAAAAAAAAAAAAAACGATCCGACCCCGGCCGGAGTTTCGAGTTTAGTGCATGACGACACATTTTTCAAAATTACAACTTTCGGTTTTAACCGGCGAATCAATTTGTATATGTATATAGTTTACCGGTGGTGTGTCGGTTTTTAATTTTACAAGGAGGCAAAAGCCCGGCACAATCATTGAATTTCAGAGATAACGAGCACAAATGTCATTAGGGAGACATTTGTTTAGTATCTTCCATACAGTTGTGCAAAATGTTTGTAGTCCCGTTCTTTTGGTTGAATATACATATATGCAAGTGGTGCGACAGCAACCCTTGACGTTTAACTGATTTTTGGATCCCCGCAATGAAAGATCGTCCCGTCGATCGATCGGTATTAGATGAACTAAGTGAATCCGCGTATTTTTCCGACGTCGATTAGTTGAAATGGTACTTTTCTGCAGGTCATGTAAGCCGAGGATAATGTGGCTGAGAAGCGAAAATGTGGGCAGAAGGCTGCGCGGCCGCTTAGGTACAGCTGGTGCAACCAAGGATACGGGCAGACGCGTCCAAGGGGGTACTGTTCGCAAATCTTCGGCTATCAACAGTAGCAGCAACAGCAAGTGCCCGAGGTTGTCGCGCTGGAGGAGGCGCTCACCGCATCATTTGAAAGAAGTGGGTTAACAGATAATAATCATATTTTATATTGTTTTTAAGATGCAATTTTGCACATGGTTGTCATCATTGATTTTTTCCACGTTTCAGGCATGCAAAGAAAACGTTTCAAATTTTGCAAAGTCTTCCCAGGTCAGGGAACGATTGCCCTGCAGGCGAAAATGCATTAGACGCTCCATCATCACGTCCACTCCGCTGAACCGGCCTCTACCCACGGATAAGGTGAATTTTAAGCTGCGGGGATTAAACAGAGAACCTTTGTTTATTTTTTTTTCACTCATTAAAAAAAAAAAAAAAAAAAAAAAAAAAAAAAAAAAAAAAAAAAATGGTACTTTCAGCATCCGAAAACAAACGCAATCGCAAAAGTGTCCGAGGAGTCGAAGGAAAATTGGAATTTGGACTCGATACCTCTGTACTCCCAGCCGGTGAGCATAGCGGAAACCGTGTGTTCCTCGACACCGACAGGGGATTACAACAACATTAAACACCAGCCAGCCAACACTGTTGTTACCGAACTCATGCCTCCGCCCGCCGAAACTGCTCAGCCGGACTTTTCGTGTCTACTGGACGAGGAGGCAAACAAGGCAAATGGTACATAACCCATGCGATACGTTTTTATAACTTGTAATGGAAAATAAGAAAAATGTGTAAATTATTTTTGATTGTGCAATTAAGCATTAACGTTACATCTCAGTTTCTCCGATTTTAGATCTGCTCTCCTTGCATTACTCGTCGATATGCTCGACGGCTAATCAATCGGACGATTACTACAGCATCGTCCACTCGACTTCCCTGTACAACAGCCGCGTGGCGTACTCGGCCGACAAGTACTTTCCGAACAACAAATTTTCGTTGATCAACAACAACGAAAACAACGACAATGACGACAATGACGATAATGACGACGACAAGGAGGAATTTTCGAGGTACCCGTACACGGACATGGAGGACGTGTCTTCAAAGTACGAGTCCACTCACGCCTATCCGACCGCGAAATACGACAATTTGACGGACGTCGACGTCGACATAACGAATTTGGATGAAGCAGCCGATGTTAACGTCAACATCGACGAGAGGTACGGAAACTATCAGGATGTCAAGTACATCGAAGTCAGTAGCGAAGAGGTGGTGGAGGCGTGCGACGAAAATATGGTCACCAACGTCGTGGACGACCGAGATTCGTTCGATCCTTATGTGTTTATAAAACACCTGCCACCTCTGACGGCGTCGATGAAGTCGAGATGTCCCGCGCTTCCCTTGAAAACCAGAAGCAGTCCAGAGTTCAGTTTGGTGTTGGACTTGGTGAGTTCCCCTACACGACTTTGGCAAAAATAAAAAAATCGTTCACCTTTATTAATATGTGTAAGTATATATTTTCTACAGGACGAAACGTTGGTTCACTGCAGTCTGCAGGAATTATCGGATGCATCCTTTTCTTTCGAAGTTGAATTTAAAGGGGCCATTTATACGGTGTTCGTGAGGACACGTCCATTCTTTCACGAGTTCTTGGAACGCGTGTCCTCGCTGTACGAGGTTATTCTGTTTACGGCGAGCAAACGCGTCTACGCGAACAAGCTGATGAATCTGCTGGATCCCACGAGAAAACTCATCAAGTTTCGATTGTTTCGGGAGCATTGCGTCTGCGTCAATGGCAATTACATAAAGGATCTGTCCATTTTGGGCCGCGACTTGTCCAAAACTGTCATCATCGACAACAGTCCACAGGCATTTGGATATCAGGTATTATACAGGGATAGCTACAACTTTTTTTTTCCTCAGTGATTTTGTAAACTAGAATTTTATGAAAATTACTTTGTCCCTTTTCTTTCTTTACAGCTCGAAAATGGTATACCGATAGAGAGTTGGTTTGCAGACAAGTCAGACAGTGAACTCATGAAATTGGTACCATTTTTAGAAAGCCTTGTATACTGGGTAAGTACATTTAATCCATTTTCGTTGTAAACGCCTCTTTGACCATTCTTTTTATTTTTTCAATATTAAATATTTGTGTTGCCAGGGTGGAGATGTCCGACCGAAAATCAGAGATCAGTTTCGGCTTTTTAGTTTTCTGCCATCGGATTAAACTTCAATGGTTGTTTTAAATCCCCGTATCAAGGGAAAAATCTTTTTTACTTTGATATATAAAATAATGACAAAGATTTTAGACCATACAAATAATTAGCACCAATTGGCACACCAAGTTTTTGTTACTCATACGATGAATTAGAAGGTAAAGATAAAATTTTTATGTAAAACCCCAAGGGTATAAAAGTGTATTTGTGTATACACTTATGAACTTATAACCGCGTATGCATAAATATCATGGAATTGCAAGTGAACCACAGTATAAAAATTTTGCGAAATTCTCCTTGAAATATACTCAATTTTAAGGAGGACTTCCTGTTAACGCCAAGCGCACTGTGTCTCGCTTGCATGATGGTTATTTAAAAAATAGACGTACGCTTATTTTAAATTTAGATTTTAAGTTTTACTTGATTTTTTAGAAAATTTTATACGCATCATTAATGATCTATATTTTTTAAGTGTAATTAGTCATCAATTTTTGCATTTCTTAAAGATTTTTTCTTTTTCTTTAATCGTTAAATTTCAAGGCAGTTCGCAATGATTTTCATACACTTAATATTCGTATTAAATTATAATTGTTAAATTATGTACATAGAACAATGCCTTCTATTTTTTTTTACGTTAAATATATATAAATATAAATACATATATATACATTATGTAAAATTGTATTGATTCAAAGTTTGATAACGGATGTTGAACGTTTATAGAAAAGAATAGATCTAAGAAAAAATATTAAATATAAAAAATCATAAATTTTATTGTAGGATACTGAAAAAAATGGATTGTTTACAAAATTATTATGATCGAATTATTTTATTGACTTTTTCGTATGTTTAAGTAATTTTTTTTTTTTTAATAATTTTTTTCACGTTTTTTCCTACAAAATTTACTAATTTGCTTTTTAAAAAATTTGTTAATCATTGAATACGTACAAATATATACATTTTGTAGATTTGCACAATTTTGTTTAAGTTACGCGATTTTTATATAATAAAAAGTGTATCAAGCCAGCTTGATAGAATGAAAAATAAAAAAAAAAAAATTTATCGATGAATTTGTTTGTTCGAAACACTCGTGACTTCCAGTTACTGTTGGAAATTATCTGTTAGCTAGTCTCCCACGAAGATAAAGAACGTTAAATCGTTCAAATAAACATTATAAATGAACAGATACGCCTTAAGTACAAAAAATAACATTTAGAAACGTAATATATAACAATATTAATACATCATAAGTTGTAACGATCATAATAGAAGAAAAATTTGAAACACAATGAAAGCCATTGTGTCATAAAAAAAATGTCTATAAAATTTTACTTGTTAAAATTACACAGATTTTATTTAGAGCTGAATCATCCATGGTATCCAAATTCTAATTTTTTCAGTATTAAATACAAGAAAAATTATAATAATCTTTAAAAATTTATGCAATATGTACGCAAAAATTGTTTTTTAATGTTAGAATGGACAAGTAATTGCTTCTTCTAGATTTATTACTAAAAAGATCTCAGTTGTAATAAGCGTTAGACAGTACATAAAATGCTATGAAAGAAAAAAAAAATAAATAAAAAAAAAAAAAATAGTAAGAAATAGATAAATAAAAGTTATAAAGGCAACTTAATCCAACCGAGCTACATTACTTATTAGCAAATTTAGAGACATTATAGGAATAATAACCGTAATACTTCCTTATTTATTGCACTAGTCGAGTACGTGTCTGAGAAAATCGTTTGTTTTTCTTACACATGCTCACGAAATGAATTTCAAATTTGTACATTCGTTGATCCTGAACGTAAAATTTATAAAATTTTATACCAGGAAATTTTAATGAGATTTATTATGAAAAAAAAAAAAATGTAAATGTTATAGTAACAAAAAGTGATAAAAGAGGCATATAATAAACAAGGCATATAATACTGTAATAAACTTTTTGCACCTTAAAAAATTATTCGTTTATTTTTCATTGATCAGAAAAATTAGCAAGAGCAATGAATTGTTTTGATTTGTTAAGTTATTTGAAAGAACAATATCTTGATAATACGTTAGATTCAATACTCATGTTAGTTACGACTCTCACAGATACAGTTTAAACTGTGCCTATATGAGATCAATAATATAAAAGTACAACAGATAATTTTCCCATTAGTTATATTCATTTTCCTAAAAATTTTATATCGAAATGTGTTCTCTCATAAACGCACAGTGCAATGGACTTATAATCACCATAATCTTAGGAGTGAGTACTTTAAAAACAAACAATTTATACCTTGCATATTTTTAATCAAACATTAACGAGTACACGGAAACAATTGAATACATCCAGTTTCATTTATTAATATTGTTTTATTTTGCGATCTTCAACTCAAGTTTTATTATTGAAAAAAAAAAAAAACTTTCAATTTTACAAATAAATGTTTAAATGAAAAATCATTGTAGTTGTTCATTTTTCCTTTTATTCTACCAAAAATAAACTGGCTTTCGTCTATTTGCACACGAGAGAATAATACAAAACGTATACTGCGAATGATGAGGTTTTATATTTACATTAATGTGATTCTGTTATGTACAAGTTATTTGGCTATGGAAAAAAATAATTCTCGTCAAGTAACTGGTTGCAACGACATTTTCGAAGAAAGAGTGAGCTAGATTTCAAGAATTTATGTGCAAAGGATCGTATAACTTTTTTTCACTAACAATTTAAAAAGTAAAGTTAACATGTTTACGATTGCATTGAAATTTGACGTATGACTTTTTATGATAAATTAAAAAACTTTATTGGTTGTTTAAGGTAGATATTTAAAATTAATTGTCACAAAACACTGTATTACTTCAGATCATTAGGATACCAAGTTATTATTTTTTTAGTCCTATGATCTTACTCTAAAAGTGTAGTTTACAGGTACTTAATTGAGATATAGCTGAAAGACAATGTAAGTTTGGTATTCCTCAATGGATTATCAACAGTTTGTATCATAGCTTGATTGATTTCCAAAAAATTATCCACTCATCTTGTAATTTGCCAATAAAAAAAAAAATGATTGTTGCTTTTAAATAATTCTTGTTTCCAACTTAAATTTCACTGTTCAATAGTCTATTTGATCTTTAAAGCACGGGGTGAAAAAATTCTGAAACACGTTATTTTCATGTCAAACGTTATTATATATTATAAACAATACATAAGGATACAAAATTTACAATTCATAAAGATAACAATTTTCAAATTTTAGTTGAAATTAGAATTATCTATTAAATACTACAATACTAGAGTGTGTTTGACTGCTCCAATTTTAGGTACATTGAATTTTCTCTTTTCAAACGAAAGCGCAAAAAAGAAAATCATTTTTTTATATCGTGCTTTGTAATAATACTATTGCACACAACATTTGTATAGATACGAAACTTCCTCGCTAGGCTTGGTATTAGTAAAACTAAAAAATCTCATTTCATCTTGGTCTGTAAAATACACTTCATTGTACCCAAAATTTGAACAGAAAAGCCACTCTTATTCTTCTTTACGCCGAAAATACCTATCCTCAATATTTCTGCAATGTTTGTTGAGAGTCGTATGTTTGGATACAATGTTAGCCAGGTGGGTGCCATTGAGTGGCGTCGTTATTATGCTAAATATGTGTCCAAATACTAAGGCATCCAATTCATTAGGCCTATTAAACATCACAAGGGAAAATTGTTTATTTCCACACAATCAACCATCACAATAAATATGACTGATTTATAATAATTACACAATGGCATTCATGGGAGTTGAGATTCAATTGGACATTGGTAAAATGACTTTATGATGGATTCATCAGACGAAATACTCAGTAACTCAAAACTATCAGTGCTTAGGTCAGGTGTGCGATCAAAATAACGTTTATTTATGGAATAGGCATGATCTATGAGGCGTGGATATCTGCGGATAATTGTCGCTATGTCTTGAACAGGTGGTGATGGGAGGGTTGACGTTGTCAGGACATGGACATGTGAGAACACCAAGGCATCCAACTGATTTGGGCTTGAAGGCCAGGGAAAATCGATTATGAACCGTCAATGGGTGACAAACAGGAAACACAAATTAAATGTTTTAAATACTTACTTGTCTCCAAAGAAGTAATCTTTGTCACCTAGCCTCTCGGATAATGCTTCGCAGCATTTGTTAACCTCCTCGTACACCTTGTCCAATGACTTATCCATCCAATTCAGAATACTTAATCTCTTAGTAATTTGACTTTTCTTCTGCCAATTGAGAAGGTGATTCAAGGGCCATGGGTAAACACTACCATGTCGATCCCTTGTGATACTTTTGTAAGTTTCGCTGTGACACCAGCATATGTACAACTCCGCATTGTATAATACATTGTTGACCAAAGACATGTAAGCCCTCACATTGACCTTGTCTTCCTGTGACAGATTTTCAGATAAACTTGTGCCTTTGCTATTGAGAAACGAGACAATATTATCGAATTCAGAGACGACGAACGCTCCGCACTTGATGAAAGGAACTTTGGCCGAAGGCGACATGAACTCGGCATTCCACCTGGGCTCTATTTGAAAATCAAGGTTGCACATTTTCAGGTATGCCTGAACGGCCAGGCAATTGGCATTGTCAGGTAATAGAATCTGCTCGACCTCGTAGGGCTGGTACAGGTGTATGGGCTGTGGCCATGGCTCTTGTGCTGAAAAAAAGTTTAATCAACAGTGAGTGTCTGACGTTGAAGTTAAAACGTAAACAATTTCACTTGACTCAGGTTAAGCCAGAACTCTTTTGCATTTACAGACAGAACGTAAAACCGAATGCTTAACGGTTTTTATTGTCTAATATGATTCACCTATATCGACGTTCCACGAGTCGAGTAAAGAAGAATTTTGCATCTCTGTCATCGATTAGTTTTTTGTACAGCTTTCTTTGAAGTAAGTATATATATGCGTCAAAAATAAGAGTTCCGATTAGGCGTGTAAACTGAGATTGGTAAAAATAAGTACTAATGAGATAGATACGACAACAGAAGACGCGAATAAAAAATGAAACTTAATAAAACCAAACAAAAAACACCAATACAACTCTAGGTGAACGGTGGAGCTTGAGCCCGATGCCAGCACCAGACCGCCCCAGAGAATAAGATAAGTATAAGTATGATAGATGCACCGAAATCTTTAAACACTCATTTAACGATACTGCCGGCACACATCTACATATATATATATATGTAGACACGTTGGGAGCTCTAGCTTTATATGTGTGTATAACTTTTGACGATGACGACTTGACCCGAATTCGCCCAAGTTTCAAGGGCTATACTGCAAGTACCGCCTGGCCGGGCCGCGGTGTTGTATTTTTAGAGCAAATTTCTACGAAATCTGCATAAAAAAACACTCTTACTTGATCATCTACTAACTTACGATGGATATCCAAGCACTTTTCGCCGCAGATCACCAGATGACGGATTTCTTCAAACGAGTCATCCTAAAATGACACATTATGGAAAATAATATAAAACAAGGGAAAAATTTTGCCATCCGCTTGTGAACATTTAATTTAAATTTAACCTCTGAAAATTTTTTTTCGCTTTCGTACAGCGAGTCCAACAATCGGCTTTTCAGAGGTAGACTTTGTTTGGCCTTGTTCTGCGATTCTTTGAATATTTTTAGCTCTTCGTCCAACATTTTTGATTTTTTTTTTTTTTCTTTTTGATTATTTTTCTACCGGTTAATTTTGAAAAATCCTGGCGAAAAAATTTTTTGGAAGGAGACGTAAACGATTTCACTGTAGAATTTTCCCTAAAAACTCTCGTGTCAATTTTTTTTTCCACCAAACAAATTAAGGAAGTAAATCAACAATTAGAATGGCTTTAATAACTTCTCAAGGAATTAAATGAGACTAATCACAATTACTCTTATTATCGCTAAATTCTTATTACAACAATATCTAATTGCTTAAAAAAGTATTTTTTTATCGTCTTTAAGTGAGAAATAAATAAAATGAAGGTGTTTGGAAAATTTCAAATTTTGGAGGTAGCAGACGAGAGAAAAAACACACAGACGAATGCGCAGTCGCTGGTGCGCTCATCTCGTTCATTCCGCGCGTTGAACTCGTCTGCCCCACGTTCTTTCTTCTTTCAAACGCGTCAAGATGTCGAAGAGAGGTAAGCATTGCCGAGGTGTCTCGGAAATCCACAAAAATCGCCCAGCAAACGGCAGATCGGAGCATCATCCCAGCTGATTATCGCAAGTGCCGTTATTGATAAAGTCGCGGGTGTGAAAATTTTTTAATTGTCACTTTGGTACGTGCGGGTAATCGGCCAGTGAAAAAAGCGATGATGGTCCGTTGCTCGCTGTTTGGTTATGATGTGCAAATGTGTGTTGGACGAGAACGAAATTGCGATGATAATGTGGCAGTTTTTGTTTTTAATACCGTTCTTAATTGTTATCTATTTGTCGTTTGTTTTTTAAGGACGTGGTGGTTCCGCTGGAGCCAAATTCAGAATATCCCTGGGTCTGCCAGTGGGTGCTGTTATCAATTGCGCTGACAATACAGGTGAGGTTTCGACTTTTTATAGTCTTGATATTGTTTTGGTGCTGGTGTGCGTTTAACCTATAAATTGGACACATGGTTGGCCATGTAAACATTCTGTCAATTTAAACAATCGTAATAAATCGACTCCAAATTCGTTCATATAAACTTGATACATTCTAAGTTTTAAGGTTATGAAAATATTAAGCTAGATGTTCCCAACTTGTTCAAAAACTCAAGTTCTTTTTACATTGTTTACACATGCTAGTTATGAATTATAGATTGATTTTGTTATAATGGATTCGTCGAATGACGATTAGTTTAAAGTACCGTGTTGAATTTACTTGGTTTAAATGTAAACTTTCATATTTTCTATCACAAAACATCATTTCGTGGTCAGACATATAACTTTTGAAGAGATGTAATAACTTTTTTTTTCAATACCCTAGTACACTGCTTGACGTGAAATTATAATAGTCAACGTTCATACAGTTGAAAGTTATTGGAACATTCTTAAACAAATAATTATTTCACAGTTATACATTTCATTACTTTGTAATTTGCAGGTGCCAAGAATCTGTATGTGATTGCTGTACAGGGAATCAAAGGTCGGCTGAACCGTCTCCCAGCAGCTGGTTCAGGCGACATGATTGTTGCAACCGTGAAGAAGGGAAAGCCAGAACTAAGAAAAAAGGGTAAGTAACAATACAAGGGTAACAAAAATACAGAGTTTTTTTCCAAGATAGTTCATTAAATTGTAATGTATTATTTTATTTTTAGTAATGCCTGCGGTGGTGATACGGCAGCGGAAACCTTTTCGAAGGAAGGATGGGACGTTTATATACTTTGAAGACAATGCAGGGGTCATTGTTAATAATAAAGGTGAAATGAAAGGTTCTGCAATCACAGGTCCAGTTGCAAAAGAGTGCGCCGATTTATGGCCCAGGATAGCATCGAACGCTAGCAGTATCGCTTAAAACGAACCACTCTGTACAAATATATTTTATCCTTTAATAAATCTGGGTTCGAGCCCATTTTTTTCTATTTCACTTTTGGGTTATGTCTCACGTTACTGTTGAATTTTAAAATCACAAACTTAAGGTATGTAAGATTAAGTACCACGAGAAATAAAAGATCGAAGGCTTTGTGAAAAAAAACTTCTCTAATATCAATCTATCAACTGAACAGTTAATGCATGGTTGTTGGCAAAGCATTGGCCTAATTGACCGGTGATCTGTAAAAATCAAGAACTGTCTACAAACTTTTAACGTTCACGTTTTGATTCAATTATTTTGCATGACTTGGGATTCAAGTTTTTTTTCCTTCCATCTGTTTTGTGACGCAAAATAATTTGATATTGGCAGAAAGTAATATGACAATTTTACTAGTGTATTTGTTGGACTTTTTACTTTTACATCTAATTGCTTCATCACTAATTCAGTGCAATTTCTTTCACATGTTCTCCGTGACAACCTTCACCGATTCATTCCAAGTTCCTGTCTTGATTCGCTACACGTATTCATTATACTCGGTTCTACTATGAACAACTCTTGGCCAAAAATATACATCACCGATTAATAAGCATCGGTACTTGGACGATCGTGTAGAGGTACAATTCAGTTTATATTCAAATTAGAATTGATACATGTATTGACCTCGATCAAGGTGACACTGACAGCTTTATTCGTTATATTTTGAATTTGGCTCGTTGACTAACTCCACTATTAATTATGCCAAATCTTATTGTGGTAGAGAAAATTCTTTTCATACTGCTCAACAAGATATGATAATAATCTCGCAGTGACAAATAATATTTCAACGAATCGAACAATTAGAGTAAAAAAAGATAATATATGAATGTTTTGTCCTTACATCTCGAGATACTCGCGTTAACAAAATACACGTACCTATACCGTTAAAGTATTTCCTTATTTTTTTCCACAACTATACAATACAATTATGCCAGCAATTATCCTGTGCATTTATTATACAGACGTGTACGCACATATATATGTATGGACGTAAAATAAAGTGCCAATAAATGTTCATACATTTCCTCGAGTTCCGCCGATTGCATCGATTGCGGCGTTCAGATAAAAAAAAAACACATCACCTTGTCGGCTTCCGCGCGACACCGCTTCAAGGAGCAAGCAGTGTGTGTTCCTTTCAATGTATAGATTCCTGGGTTTTACTGCCCTCGATTTTTTTTTTTTTTTTTTTTCTATATGGCACACGTGTTCCGGTCGAACTCGACGTTCGTAGGAGTAATTGATGTAAAAAATTTTGCATGTGTCCATCACTGTACATTACATTCCATTATAGACTAAAATTAATTTTTCTGGAAAAAAATAAGGATCCGCTAATCCCTTTTGAGATCCACGTCCGAATCAAACTTTTATTATTTAATACTAGTAAATAACTCGTAGAATTAATTTTAAAAAATCGGCAAGATTGCACGCGTGATTACGTCTATTTTTTATATCTTCCAAAATTGGCACGAGTGAGTCGTTTGATCGATCGCTTGTATGCACATTTACGTAAGTGAGGCTTATTAATCATCACGCGTATGTTTTTTCATTGCAGGCGTGCACCGGTTGTTTACCGAGCTTTAACGTATTAGATCGCCAAAGGCTTATTGATCAGATTTGCATGCTTATCATATATAGCAACTGGAAGAGAGGGACATCGATTGAGACGCAGATGCGAAGCGAAAATAATACAATGGATAAAAGCGTGTGCAATGGACCAGTGGCTCCCAACAAAACTGATGAAAAATAAAAAAAAAAGCTTCGATCAAATAGTTAATATATATTGGTACAACAGACGAAAATTGACCGTTATTTTGTACACACCGGGTTTTTTCGCGATCAGCGAGCCGATATTTTCGATGCGTTAATCATCGGAGAAGAAGCACAAATCTCTACACGAGATTACTTTATTATTGGGTATGGTGCTTTTTTTTTTTTTTTTTTTTTTTTCAAAGTACAATCGGTATTGTAAACATTTTTGTATAAATTAAACTCGTCTTTGCGTGAATCTAGTCTATCCGGTCTCGTGTCCTTTGAACGGAGCATTTGTTTGTATGTTTTCAACTGCCGGTCTCTGGACACGCGCGTGTACGAAAGCAAGAATAGAAATTAATAATTATCGGAACGTGGTAATGACATTGTTGAAGATTGATTGTTGATTATTTTTGGAGCTCAGTGTGCGTTTTGGCGAGGGTAAGAAATATATTCGGGAACAAAGTCAAATTGGTTAATTTTTTTTCGTTACTAAATAACGCGCCACGGTTCGATCCATCGGCAAATTGAAAAAATAAAACAACAAAACTATTGACGATAGTAGAATATACGTATAATTTTTAAATTTCCTTGAAAATAAATTTCAATGCAGATATAATACACTCGCGCGGACTTCCCCAACAATTATACTTAATTATCAAAAGTATAAAAATATGTACATGCGCACAATAATATATCTGGTAAGCATTGCCGAGGTGTCTCGGAGTGTCTGAGAAAATCGTTTGTTTTTCTTACACATGCTCACGAAATGAATTTCAAATTTGTACATTCGTTGATCCTGAACGTAAAATTTATAAAATTTTATACCAGGAAATTTTAATGAGATTTATTATGAAAAAAAAAAAAAAAAAAAAAATAGAACAGGGAAGACATGCTTTTATGACCCAGAGTTGGAATGAGAGTGGGAGAGAACCGGCATACACCTACCCTCAGAAAAACGAGTATAAAAAAACAGTTGCAATACAATAATTGGGTACATACATATTAGAACGAGAGGAAAATAGAGTATCGAGATTTGACGTTGTCGTCGCGGAGAGGAGGTGCTTCGTGTTATATTACATACAATATTACAGTCACCTCAACCTTAGAGCCAGTCGCCGACAAGCACTGCTCGAAGAAGTATCCAATTATTTTACACACATGCGTACTGGGAGCATGCGACTTTTCGGTATTATTATCAATACCTAAAACCAATTGCCAAACACGCTTGAGTATCATAAATATCATTATATAGTATACCGGCAGAATCGTGGAATCGTGGTTAAACACGTACACACATGTATAGCTCTCGGCAGTGCTAGCGTGTGTGATACATAATACATATAGGTATATACATTTGCCACAAGAAAGTTACACGACGCCGCTGCTGCTGTACGTCGACGGATTTTACCAGCATAACCACGAACGAGTCTTTTACACATCATTCCTCATGGCTGCTGCTGCGGTAGCAATCTGCTTTATCAAAAGGTAAATGCTGCTTATTTTATAGTTGAAGTACAAGTTTTCGGTACTTATACATATACAGTGCATCATAATATTTATGTATAAATTTAAATGCTTGTTGTTGTTGTTGTTGGTTTTTTGTATATCGAAAATAGAAGCACGTGACTATCGTATCCATACATGGTAATAACATCTACTTGTGGGGGTGATGACGACATATATATTTTATGACGTGCGACAATATAACGGTTCACATCAAACATAATATATCATAATACGAGTGCTAATTTTATGTATACATTTTGGCGGGAGGTAGGGTATTTTTTTTTTTTCCTCGATACATTATTAAGTATAAATGTTTCAAGTACTTAGCCGCATCATGTGCAAGCGATACGTTGTGTGATTTTTCTATATGCGATTCGCATGTTATACCTATCAATAATCAAATCAGTTAATCGTAATGACATGGGTAAAAAAAATACACGCATCGTAAGAGTTGAGTGTACTGTAACTTACTAAACACGTGATTCATCGCTGATGGTGCAATGGGTGCATGTGACGATCGATTTTTTTTTTTTTTTTTTTTTTTACGTATACATACATACCCGCAATTACAACGATCGTTTTGACACGATAAGATGTAGATTACGGATTTTCACGCGTCATCGACATTTTTACATACTTACTGGAAGTTTTTCAATTTTTGTGCGTTTAATCTTGGGGGACCAAGTGTGACGCATGTGTATATTATCTGCTATGTAATGTATTTTACCCTTATTTTGTATATTAAACAGTTTATTCCGCTTATATCCGTATGAATTGTTTGACAAGGGCCGAGAGAAAACATTACGAAGGTGTAAAATCAAATACAATCGAATGTTGTTAATTCATGGAAATAACTGTTGAGTATTAGGAAGTTGCGGGATTCGCGAGATTCAGCGTATACCTAATGAAAAGTTACGGCGTGAGCATAAAATAATATCTCCTACTTATCAGTTGATTGTCGCGTTGTCGTTGAATCTGAGGGAGAAAAAAAAACAAAAAAACAATTAACAAGGAATGCGCTTACGTATGCGTGAATCTGTGTTTGTTTTTCATTCGCAGGATACATTTTTTTTTTTCTCTTCTCTTACCCTTGATGACTCAAATTTTTTTTTCGAGTGAAATCAATCATTCGGACGCTATACCGATCTCTGAAACGAAAGCATAAAAAAATGGCCTTTTGTTTGTAACTTGACACGCACTGAGTACATTATCAACGTTCAAGCTTATTCACGTACTTACTTCTTCCTCATCGGGAACGAAAAATTATTATTTCGATATAGATCGTCCGCTACAGTGACGTAATTCAAGTGTGGGTATCCGTGTTCCCGCCAAACAATTGATAAGGCCGCAGCAGCAGCCGGTCTCTCGTACATATATATACAAATACGTACATTCGTCGAAATCTCCGAAAAATCGGGATCGGATGGCGAAAACAAACAATCTACTTAGCACCAAGACTCGGTATCTCATATCGAGCTAGTTAAAATTATGACGGGTTGAAACAAAAAAATTCTACGGTTGGATTTTGAATTTTTGTACATCGAAAAAAAGATGTTGGAGTCGAACATGGGCATTACGTGACATGCTTTTTTGGAGATTTTAACCTAGTGACGTGTAACGTGATGGCGTTATCGTTCTCTAGCCGGTACAACAATCGTCTCATGACCTATCATCATTTTAAACCACCACTAGCCCTATACTCACCCGAACCCATCGCATTTTTCAAGTTCAAACTAAAAAACTGAGATAGTTAAACCCAA